CATTGTGATGGAACAATGAAGTCTTCGAATTCTTCAAATGTTGTAAATGTAAATGTCTGTGAGGTTTCGTGTTTACGTAGATGGATCTTACCATTATTATTATTATTTATTAATTTTTTTAAATATGTTTATTGATAATCGCATTAAATAATTACATTTACAAAACACACACACAAAAAAACACTTTAACAAGAGACATTAACAGAGTAAAGCAAAAAAAAAATTGTCAAATTATTACAGGAGGTGTTACAGGGCTAAAAGAAATTGTAAAAAAGTACAACAGGGCAATGAAATAATACGGAGTTAATACAGTTAACTTAAATAAGGCGTCAGTATCCACTTTCTTTTAAAGAATTCTTTGTTGCTGATTTTTTCTTCTGTTTCATATTTAGCGATGATCTTGGCTCTGAATCCATAAATTAATGTTTGGAAGGATTTGTTTGCTCCTGCAGTCCCACAAATAGAGTTTTCCAATAATTATAAAATAGTTCAGCAATTGGAGTAAAGGGCAAGCACTTTCCGTCAAAATTCCAAAGAGCACATTTTCCAAGCAGAGACGAATTCATTGATTCCAAATAATTAAGGCACCAATGTAGTTCAAATTCAATCCAAAACTGTTTAGAGCATGAGCAGTGATAGAACAAAATTTATGCGTTAATGATTCAGGTTGATTGTCACAGAAAGTACATAAATCATTTGTCCTAAAACCTATTTTATACAACTTTGTATTTGTGTAAAGAATTGAGTTAATTACTTTGTACTGGAAGGCTTTAACATGCGATTCGACAACGATAGAGTGTGGCAGCTTAAATATTTGCTTCAGATTGTCGCTGTAAAAATGAAAGTTACTCTGTAATTTTTTAATAATATTGGGCGGTTTAACTTTTTCTCTGGTGAGTAGTTTGTAGTAATCCTTTGATTTCCCTTTCGTAACATCAAAATTATTGTCACCCACCACAAATTTTGGTGAGTTTATGGAAGGATACCTGTCATAACTTCTCAACGATAATGGAATGGACCTGCATAAGCCAGCCCATTCTAAAATATTTGTTTTGCATATTTTTTTAGACAGTTGATTATAAGAATCAGTACTGTTCAGACTAAATAAAAGATCCTGAATGCAAGTGACTCTCGCATTAACATAATGTTTATAATAAACCGGCTTGTTTTCTACTTTTATTTCTTTGTTATTCCAGATTATCGTTTTCCAATCTTCTTCAGTGGCAAACCTTTCACGAAATTGCAACCACCATAACAAAAGTTCCTGATAAAATTGAGAAGGAATTGTGTAATCCGAGATATTGTAGTTGCAGTTAAAAAAGAACAATCCCCCAACGGAGCTCAGTATGTGTTGTAGGTAGCTTTTCCAAGTTCCATTAGTCCCACTGAAGATACGTTTTAACCAAGCTAATCTCAATGACTTAACCATGCACTCGAGATCAACCATTCTTAGCCCTCCCTCTTCGTATTCGTTTATAACTGAAGCTCTTGTTACCTTATCTACACCTTTCCAGAGAAATTTAAACAGTATTTTATTCAATTCTTTTAGTAATTCCTTGGGAGTTGGAAGGATCGAACAAATGTAAATGTACTTAGGGATAAGAAAAGATTTGATTATTGTCACCTTACCGTATATCAACAGGCCTCTAGCGGACCATATATTAATAAGTTTTTTAATTGAATCCAGTTGTTCTATAAAATTCTTACCATTATTCGTCCATAGGAATTTGTACTTGTTTTCCTTCTTGAATTTGTTTACCCTTCCAAAGAGTTCACTGCGATACTGGGTTAGGGATTCATTAATGTACATAGCAGAGTCTTGGTGGATGCTTTTCCCCATCTCACAAGTCACGAGTGGAAGCACGCTTGCTTTTTTCCCGCCAAGGTACTTGCATGACTTGTAGAATTCGTCACGCTTTTCTGTACAGACCAATTTGACAATAAATCAGAAGAGCTCAGAAGTCGCGTCCGGTCGCCATGACACCCAAGCTCAGCAAGCTCAGCAAGGTACAAGTATTCATTGGACATATACCTTGTTGAAATGATGTTTGTTGAAATGATGTTTACCAGTTGGTTATATTTTTCATAGTAAAAATCTCCGTTTCTTTTTCTGGCGTTTGTAATTCATAAATCATGTTTTAAAATGTGCCTAGCACTAGCTAACTTGTTTACATGTTCATGTAATAGTTAGTAGCAGCTTCCGGCTGTGTTTACTTCAGTTAATCTTAACTTAACTCGAGTACTCTTCAGAGCTCTTTCTATCTTAGTTGTTTTTGTTGTTTTTGAGACTTGTAATGAATTTTGTTATACATGGTAATTAACCTCAAATTTCTGTTCAAATATTACCACCTCCAGTAGTTTCCATGGTTACTGTAGTTCATTCTCAAAAACTTTCTGTTAATTTACAATTTTCTGCTCTCAAGTACTGTACTGCAGTGGAGGTTTGCTAGCCAAGTGGTTGATACCGGGAACTTCAGATCTGTTGATCTGGGTTCAAGCTCTGCCATCTTGTTTTCATAGACAAGAACCTTTTATCTTCTATGTCTGTCTCAGATGTATGCATATAAATATGTGCGGCCGATGACTCACTGCTAGGGGTACCCCTCATGGGTGCTATTTGAAAATTATTGAAATTATTTAATTATATGGTAGACAGTTAAAGTAAAACTCAACAAATTTTGCCTGTGAAGGTTGCTTTGTTAATCTTGTCTATCCTGTATTGGAGTTGCATTTTAATTTAGAGTTATTCGCAAGTCCTGCTTAATTCCATGGATATTGGCTCAAAACCTGTATTTCTTGAATGAGACAATATTTTTATTAAAATAATTAACCAATTTATTTATTATTCAAGGCATTTTATGATATCTTTTGAGTGATTTTGACATGTACCTGTGTCCTTTGCTAGTGAATTTTACTGGTGAATAAGGAACATGAACTGTAAAATAATTATTTGGCAAAACTATAGCAGTGGTCACAGTCATTGGAAGCTATGCTTAACACAAACTGCAAGACATCATCTATGTTTGGTCATGTAGATTTGTAGACAAACAAAGAAAAAGGTCACTATTTCAGGGCTCGAAAAAAGTCGTGTCTGGTATTCCAGGATGACTAGATTTTGTTGCTTGGCAAGTAACTTCTAAAGCAAACTTGCCTGATGGACAAGATCCAGGCAAGTCGAACCAAATTCCAACTAAATCATTGAGAGCTGCTTGCTCAAAAGACAACATCTTGTTCCTCTTGTACCCAGATACTGGGGCAGAAGTATTAAATACATGTATATACCTTACTGGTTCTAAATTTCACTGATCTTAGATTTTGCCAATTGTATTTTTTGCAATTCTAAAACACATCCGGAAATTAAAGATGCAAATAAAATTTCTCATGAATTAAAGCACTCAAAATTTAATAACTGTAAAGAAAATTCAGGTCACAGAAAAAAAAATTATTTGCGCTTGCGTGTATGTTAAAACGCTTAGTGTTGTACATGTAAGTTGCGGCTCATTGAGAAAATCCTACATTGTATATATGTACGTTGTGATAAGTCAAGTTTTTTCACACATGTTGGCCTTTCAAAAAGTGAGTCTTGCAGTGTATAGCCACCTTTGTATTAAGTTTAATACTAGAGGATGCGAAACGATAACCCTGCAAAGTTTTTTATGGGGGATTTGATTCATTTTTGGATGATGAGGGATTTTCCACCAATTTGTAAAGGGACTCAGGGAGTAAAGAAAGTCAGTTTTACAGCTTGCCATTTGGGCGAGCTGTATCTAGCATGTACTAGCCTAAGAGTCTCTTTAACTGCCCTGAAAAAAATATTTGATGAGCAGGATTGTATATCTGTAATTTGAACTCCCCAAAAAACTTAACCTGCCCAGCGGGCAATTAGTTAAGAACAGAATTCACTAGCCCAATAGCACAATCCCCTAGCCACAGGCTATTGGACACAAATTTCTTTGCACACTGGGACTTGAAATGAGAGATAATTTTGGTTACAAGGAGTGACTTATAACTCATATTTTTGGGCCTCAAATGAGTTATTTGTATGAACAAATACAGTGTCTTCACTCTTGGGTGTTGCACTGAAATTTTTTGTGAAACATGTTGCTTGTTCAGCTTGTAATATGGGCAAAAATACTTTTTAACTTCTAATGGATTGTGACAACTTGAACAAAAATGTTGCCTGTTTTACTTGACCTTTCAGCTCTTGAAACACCTTGCAATCAGTTGCTGGGTCTGGTTTTATAATGTGTGTGCTTTGTTGATAAAGTACACGTAAATTGTATACTGTAAATACAGTAGTTTTAAATACCCTCCTCTCCAAAGCACAGCCACAGACTCTTTAAAACTGCACAGCCTAGAAGATTGAAGACAACCAATGCTGTTGTCAATGAAGGCTCGTACAACCAATTGATTAATAAAAGCTTGACTTATCAATTAACACGTTTTAGTAAATTAACTCATTAACATGATAAATTGCCCTGACATGTTCAACTGGCTGCTACATTACCATCTACTGGCTACAGAAATGTAGCCGCCTTAAAATTCAAAAGTGACATTGTCTATTAAAGTACATGCAGCTGAGTATTTCATTCCACGCTTAAGACCTGTTGTAGGGAAATGAACTTCAGATAGATAAGTGTTGTGATTCACAACTCTCTTGTCCTGTAGAAATTTATTGGTTAGAGTTTCTCTCCTCCTCCACAGGGAGGAAGGGGATCTTGGTAGAGTGAATTTGCCTAAGTGGCGTAATTAAGAACTCTTTAAAATTTATTTCACTCTTTCGTTTGTTACAGAAAGAATCTCAAGAATTGCCTTTATCTCTATCATTGACCACATCACGAGAAGCCTCCTCAAGTGTCTTCTTGTCCACATCAGAACTGGAAGAACTTGTTACACCAACAGTGGCTCCAGCCACCCCAAGCTATGATGCTGATTTGTCCATTACTGTCGTAAACCACGCAAGTAGCAGTCACTCATACTCACAACCAAGGGAATACAATATGGTTTCATCAGTAATCCTTATACCTCCCAGTAATCCAAGCCAGATTCAGTCGTCCCAGGGAAGTCAAAATGTTAGAGCTGGCACTTTCTCTGAGGGAGTGGTAGCAACAAAAGAGCCAGAGGTGTTCTCTTCAGTTTTAGACTCCGTGTAAGTAAACTTTACAGTGCAATGAATTAAAAAAATTAATACCACAAGGTGAAAAACAGATGAAAGGGTAAATTTAAAGAATGAAAATAATACACCATTAGTTTCCTCTATTTACCTTATATTATATTATTTACAGATAATTTTTATCTGTTTACTATTGCAGCCCTCCAAATCCAATCAGCAGTGAGCCCACGCCTACTGCACCCTCAGCAACAAGTCCAAAGGAGGAAGAAGACAGCATAACGGCCGCTTTAGACCAAGCAGCAGAAGAGGAAACCAAACTGAAGGAAGAAGAGATGCCTTCATTTGATGAATTTAAAAGAAGAGTTTTACAGGAGGAAGAAGAGAAAAGTAAACAGCAGAGTGCTGAGAACTCAAGTGGAGCTGCACCCAAACCCAAGAAATTAAAGGAACGAGAACAAAGCAATTATGCCTTAGTAGACTGTGGTGCAAAGATCTTAGATCATAATCCATGTTTTGAACAGCTGTGGCCAGAAGGTTTATTATGTTCAGCAACTTTCTAACATCCTATTACACATTCATCGCACTTGTTTTGTCTCATCGAGGCTTAAAGAACGAGATATATTACGCATATATCATGCCTTTTTCGCCTTCTTGTGGGTTAATGAGCGACATATTTAGTGTACAACACATTTATCATGCTTGTTTCGTCTAAGGCTTTAAAGAACAAGACATTGCACATATGACACCTATAATTGTCTTATTAACGAATCCCTTATTTTAAGTACCTTGTAGGTAGAAATTTCTTTCTTTTTTTTGGAATTCAGTCGATGCGAAGACAATTTTTAGCTGAATTAAACAGATACATTGTAGCAAATAGTGTGACATAAACTCTGTAAGTACCTTATGTGCTGTCCTTCATTCAATTAGGTTGAGATGTTGAGTCACTTTGGCTCAGAACATTACTGCGCACTGAGCCTTCTGCGTGTGCACGGCAGCAGCATGATGGAAGAGCTGGAAGACCATGAAACAGATGGACAGGAAGAGAACGATAACAGCGACAGTGACAGTGAAATGACAGTGATGTGACAGTGTTACCTCCTGATCCTAGTTCCAAGGTTGAAGATCAACCCAAGCAGCAAAATCTGTTGCAAAGAGCAGCTGATACGGTTTTTAATCTGGTCAAGAAATTCACTGGAAATGGGCATGATAACAAGCAAGATAAGGAAGGAGACGATAGTAAACTCGGCGCCCAAGACAATAAAATGCTGAGAAGGAATCCCAAGGTGAAAGCCTGGGCAAAATTGTCACTCTTGTTGGTCATGAAGAGCTCAACGAAAATTCACAAATGAGTGGTGACAATGCCTGTATAGTAAAGCAAGGTCACAGTCGTGATAGAAATGCTTCACAAGGAAAATGTGTGTCTGGTATTATAAGCCATGAAGATAGTCCACCTTGCAGCAAAGCAGATACCAAGGGAGAGACTCGTACATGCAGCCCTGCTCCGTCAGCATGCCAGTTGTTTGCTCAGGTATTGGGGCACTACAGTCTTGGGTGTTTTGTGGGACGAATACTGTTTTCAAAGAATGAAAACTTTACAGTATCAATGAATTTAGCTACGAGTGGTGATTACAAGCGAAATTTAATTGTAGCTCATGAAAAAGATAAAGGTGAATCTTATGAAAAGAAAGAAAGTCAAGACCAAGAGAACGTTCCTGCAGAAGAGGCTGGAGAGCCATCTACTGCTGACAACTCAGAAGAGAACAGTGCTGAATTAGATATCGTAGACCAAGAATTCCCTGTTATCTTTCCTGAAATGTCTTCCAGCGTTCTGAAAATAGCAAATTGAGTTACCAGCTCAGGTGCATCGGGAGTTTCCGAATATGTTGACCCTTTGTCCGGAGTTTTGCAGCCTAGCGAGTCACTAAACATTTTCGTGTCAGAGGATGAGAAGAAGAGGGAAACTGATGAAAAAACCCCCTCATTAGTAGAAGTGTCAGTTGTTACGTCTTTACGTTTAAATGCCACTCTGCCGGCTTCTTCGTCCCAAGTCCCAAGTTCCCAAGTGAGAGTAATTAAGGATTCTTTTGTTGATGTTCCACAAGGTGAATCCAAGTTGCACGGTAAGCAGGAGTTAAATAAACAACCTGTACAAAGCATTCCTGACAGACCGTCAACTGTGTTAGGAAGTGAACAGGCACACTCTGTGACAAAAGGTACTTCTCAACAGCCGTTGCCTTTGAATATGAAGGATATAAGTTCCAAAGATGAAGAGAAAGTAGAAGACAATTTAACTGTTACTGATGAATTAAACGGTAGCAAGGGTAAAGATCAAACCGAAGGTACACCATCGGAATGCAAAGGGCCAAATTCAATTCACATTATGTCGCAATCTTCTCCAGATATTGACGTCTTGGAGACAAAACTCACTGACAAAGATGGACGAGAGGGTACTGCTCAATTACCTGAAGAGGTACATTTGGAAAAAGAGCCTATACATAGTGCCATTGAAGCGTCAGAATCAACCAAAGCAACTGATTTTTCAAGCGTAAATTTAGAGCCAATTTAGAACAGAAGGTGAAGGATTGAAACCAGATTTGGACAACCAGGAGCCGGGTATTGAAAGCACAAAATCGACATCCAAAATGTTGGAATCTGAAAATGCGGATCCAGTTATTCAGCCTACCATTCCTCCTAGTATTGACATTACTGACACTTCAGACCCTGTTGTTCCATTGCCAGCTCCTCCTGTTATTGGAGACACAAGCTTACCTAGCCATGAGTTTTCAACTGCAGCATCGTCGGCAGAAGCTACTCTTGATACTTCAATCCTCAGCAAAGCTCAACAAGCCGCTGTTTCTTCTTCAGCTGGACTATCGTCAGGGGTCGGGTCAGGAGGGCAGAAGGAATCCATATTTGTTCGTCTTAGTAACAAGATCAAGGTTCTGGAACAGAATTTGAACATGAGTACCCTGTATATGGAACAGCTGCATCAGAGGTAACTTTTACAAATCTCTTCAATCTCTCGTTGATACAAGTGGTTACAGCACCATGTTCTCTTTAAAGCTTTATTTGTGTGGGCTCAGGCTCCGGCCCCAAAAGGGAAAAGGCGAAAAAAAAAAAAAAATCAGCAAATGAAGTGGCGGAAATGACCTTTCCCACACCCCAGTCCATGTTTTTTTGTTGTAGTTGTAGTTGTTGTTGTCTTTTTCTTTTTTTGGCTGTTTCGCTCTGCTTTTTGCCTTTTCCTCCACTATGGAGCCTGGTCCCAGGCTAAAGCTACACGTACATGTACAACCTGATGGACAAAACTCTTTAGATAGTTCCATCTATTAATTTTTTTGAATTACGCGCTACATTACCATCTCCTCTAAACATCTAATAAAATTACCCCAACCCCTCCCCTATTCAATAGTGGTTTGGCCTTTAAACCAGTGTATATAATTCTGGGCCCAGTTGTTCAAAGGCCGATTAGCACTAAACCCAGGGTTAAATTTAACCCGAGTTTCTTTTTCTTTTTTTGAAAGCATTTTCTCGGATAATTTGCTCTGTTGTTTTTAAGACCATCCAAATATCAACTTGTTGACCAAAAGAATTAAACTGAATTTACTTTTTAAGCTTTCATATCTGAATTCATATTTCGCACTAACCCTAGGTTATCTTAACCCAGCTTTGAACAACCCGGCTCTGGGTCCGGTTCCTGAAAGGTCGATTAGTGCTAATCCAGGATTAAAAAATTTTGTTCCTACGTATGCTTAAAGTAACCTTTTGTGTTATCATTACTGTATCTTGGGGTAAAGGCTCAACAGTATTTTTTTTAGCTCGAGTTGCATGTCCTTAGACAAGAAAACCTTGCTTAAAACTAGGCTTAATCCTGGGTTAAACTTAACCAACTTTCGAGGAACCAGGCCCTCGTATTACTCAAAAAATTGTTGGAAGAGGGGAAGGGGGAGTAAGACAATTAAGGTCTCGGTAAATGAAAATTTTAGTACATTGCTCGATTTTGTTTTTTTTGGATTTTTGGCATGAGTGGGTCCTAAATTTTAATTTGGCAGAAAAAGAAAATCAGAAAGTGCTTTTTAACCCTTCTAAAATGAGCCTTTTCTGGGCTAACCAGCCAAGCGTGGACTTCGCGCTAAATCTTTAGAGCTGATTTTCTCTCACTCTATTTTAGACGCAAAAATCAAAATTCTCCGACCTCCAGTCGGGACAGGTTTTAAGCTATCGCTTTGAAACTTTCAGATATGATGGATAATGATATAGACTCAAAAAGGGTGTGAGGAATTTTCCGATTTCCCTTTGTAACTCATTTTATGTCAGTTTCTTTGCGTAAATCGCGCTCGAGATTCGACTTTTTAGTTTGAAATGCAATAATTCCGCTAACACGAGACATCTGCAAATTTCCTCACACCCTTTTTTAGGTCTTTTATCTGTCAATCAGATGCAATAAAAAGGAAGTGAATATTTAACAACGCGAAAGGGCTGGAGCAGCAGTAAACTCGATACCTCTGAGTTCGAGAACAAAAAACTTAAGCACCTTTTGAAATTCGATGAAATAAAATCTTTTATAAGGTAATTTAGTCTTTTAGCTTTAATTTGATATGTAACTTGCCTTTGTAGCGAAAATACTCGCGCGACTAGAATTTTTTTCTGTGGGCACCTCGTTTTCCTTTACCGAGACCTTAATTTAAGCAAGGGGTTTCATTTTAGTCCGAATGACAGGAAAAATAGGTCTTTTTCAATTTTTATCAACCGGTTTAGATCACAGTTGTAGCTGATCTCTAAAAGCGTTTACCGTAGTACATGACCAGAGTGAAATAAAAGTAGTTTAGAGTTCTCGGAGAAAGTGCTAGGGACAATCCCATCACTTCGTATCTTTTAGTTCCTTCTTCAGAGAAGTTATGTTTATGTAGCCTGAAATTCAGACGTTACTGAGGGAGTAAAAACGACTCAAAATAGTTGTCTGAAATTCAGTACATATCTGTACATATCTGTTTCTGTGGGGGCATGAACTCGCTAGTTCGTTTCGCCTGTTTAGGCTACAAAGCTCTTTTTTACAAATGATGATAAAATTTTCATAAAGACATAGATTACATTTTTTGCCAATGTTGCTATAGGCTTCACATTTCTTTAAAACTTTTATATCTGGAAAGATTTCTTAGAGTCTTGTAAAGTCCAAATATATTTTTAGAGTTCCGTTTCATTTCTTCTGTTCGAACGTCGAAAGGAGGACTGATAAACACTGTATATTTAAGGACCAAACTCTCAAGTTTCTTTATTTTTCTGGTAGTCAACAACTATATCTCCTTCATAGAAATGAAGAACCTAATAACGAACGCTCTTAGCCTAAATTACCAATGACTACCCCAAAATAAAAGAACCTTGTTTGCCAGGCCTCAAATAATGTAGGTTCTTATTAGTTGGTGCTAACTCTTCCGTGCATTTTCTACCCCTCAATTCGCGAAAATGAACGTTCATAGGAATTTTGTTTATCGTCCTCTTAAAAATTATCCGTTTGAGATTGGACGAGATTAGTACAATAAAAATAACTTGGCGTGATTGCCCTACTTTGCAACACACCGATTTCGACTGAGCGTGCTCCTTGTCAACGATCTTAAGTGCTCAACGAATTAAAGCTATGGAACAAGCTCGAGTTGGATGAATTAAAGGGGCTGTGTCACGGCAGTCCAGTTCATTTTGATTGATTTTGCCAATTACTCACCCTCAATCGCTATGGAACTTAAAGTAGGCAAAGAAATTACATGTAAATGACAAAATCAGAGATCCGAGACAAACAAATGTCTCCCGAGTATTATTTTTGAAGTTGCAAGTAGCAGGGATCAATTTTGAAAAATTGTTAGGCTGAACAGTTTTCAAAAACCCTCATTTCAATCCGTTTCAATCTTCTTCAGTTTTGCCCATCCGTGGCATTTGTTGTTTCCGTTGTGTTATTTTAACCTTCCTTTAATGTTTTAAGCGGTTATTTTTATGTTTCTCTTAATTTAACGGGCATTTTGTAATTTCCTAATTTGGCTCAATTTCCTGACACAGCTCCTTTAACTGCTGTGAAAGACAGTTTCAAACTTACTCCCACCCAGATGCTCTCTATTGGCCCGTCACTTGAAGATAACGTGAACACTGGTCTAACGATGGTAGAACCTTTAGCGCAACCATTTACGCTTGATGGCGTTCGCCACGTTCCATCAAGCGCCGCGTTTGGTATACGTTCTACAGTGTAGACGATTTCCTGTGCAAGTGTCTTGTTTACATGCACATATTAATCGAACCAATGTTACTTCTTTTTAAATGTACACTTTACACATTTCCTTCTACAGATCAACAACCAAAAGGAACAGATCACTAAACTGCAATCAAAGCTGGATAACCTGACCAACGCAGTTGCTGATATGAAAGCCCCTATGGATCCGCTCAATAAGGAAGTGATGGAGCGCCATGTTATCGGTCTTTGCATTGAAATAGTCTTAATTCTTCTTCTGTTTATACTGTTTGCAAAGAGAAAAAATAATCAGGAGACTTCTAACTCACCCGGGAGGTCAGTGCACCTTATGAACGGTCATGGCGCCCCTCGACTTGCAATTGAAGATAGCAAGCGCAGCAAAGCCACTGTCTTGTCGGAAGGTGAGTACTACGTTCGCGCACTAGGAATATTCATCTGGCATTTTATCAACTTGATATCAACATGAAATTTCTCCCCACATACCTCCTTACGTTCTGCTTAGTAGTTGAAAATATCAACTTGGATTACTTTTTAGTTTGTTATTTCTGAGTTCCAAAAACTCTCATTTTCAAAACGAGGCTAAGTGACATTGTTTTCTCGTGAAAATGAGTTTAATCTGCATGACACTGAATATTATTTTCATATCAATTATACTTCAGAACGCATTTATGCAACAAGAGGTTTTCAGAACCTTTTATTTGTGATATCGAAGCAATATATTTTGTTCATTCATTTGTTCATTTTTACCACCACATTGCAAGTTACTGAAGCATCTATTGTCGGTCCAATGTGTACAGTGTGCAAACGTATTTATTTCTTTAGTTATTCATTTTTTTTTTATATTTTAGTTCCTAGGTTAAGTGGAAAAGAACAGCTTCTTTGCAGTTTTGTCAAGATGGCGGCACTGATACAGATCACCATGACAACAAATTAGTAATATAGGTAGGTTTTCAAACAATGCAGTTGTGTATTTTATAATTGAATGGTGAAAGCTAATCCTTGATGTTTGAATTTAAATGTTAAATGTTAGTCCACTAGAAGGTTTCTAGAGTAAGCTCGAATTATCATTCGCCAGTTTTGTTTATTTCCAGAAGGGGAAAGAATAGGGTGTATACTGTTCCATTGCAAATACAGCCGCCTCTCGTCGCTCTCCGTCGCTAGGAAATAGGGAGCTTTAGCATCGACGACGGCAACTGCAGCGAAAACGTCAGTTTTAAAATGAATTCCCGTTTTTTCAATCTTTGTCGCGTTTACTCCAATTTGCTGAAAATGGCAAGTTTAGGCGAATTTCCCTGGAGTTGATTTCTTGAGGACTGTACTCAAGTTTAGAG